AAGTAAATCAACCCATATGAGAAATAAAAAATATGACCCAAATAATAGATCTTACATTGAGGTCTCGAAAGTGCTCATTGTAGTCCAAAGCATAACCAACCACAAAGCGATCTGGTATCTCGAAGCAGCAATCTGAAAAGTACTCATGATTATTATCTCTAGAATAATGGAAAGCAAAAATACACTTCACAGGGTAAGGCAAAAAGAAGTTATGCTCCCCAATTTTTCACAATGAATTCTTTGCTCTCACAAAGTTTTTTTTATTAATAAATTAAATTGGTTCTATAAACAGGCTGATATATTTTAAAGGTGTCCATGGAATTTCATTCAAATTCATTGTGTCAAAGCAAGGCAAAATGAGCAGTTATTCAAAAGAAGTGGCATAAGGAAAATCAACAGGAGCCCTTGCTCGTAGGTAAGTGGAGGAAATGCCTTTAGACTCTGGTTCCATACCATCCAGGTGATATTACACACTTCTTCCATTATCTATTCTTCAGGCTGGCTTTTCATTGATTGCAGTTTTTATGAGTAAATATGAATAAATAGCTAATCCATCAATGTGGAGTTTGCCTCTATGTTTATTATGATTGCCCATTTATTAACATTGCAGGCAGACTCTAGTCACTCTGATAGATGGCATCCCCTGCCCCTTCTCAAGTTCCAATTTCTTTTGAATAATTGCTCATAGCCTTCCTCTGGCAAAAAGACTTGGATGAAATTTCAAAAGGGTGTAGGGAACATATCGGTCCAAGCTTTCCAAAAAAGTCCAAACTTTCCCAAAAATGGCTTCAGTAAGGTCAGATACTGAAAGGTTAAAAGTCAGGGGTTTCTTTCTTTATTTTTGCACTATGCCAGTCTATTTCATGGAAATACAAAGGAGCACTTTTACTTTTTAGTTCTTGTAGAGATATCATTTTCTGCACAGTCAATAAAGAGTTAGCAATACATTCTCAGATAATTTTTTAAGAGTGAAAGAGAGGGGAGGCTAATATAATGGAAAAAAAAGAAGCTTCACTTTGAGCAGTCACTGAAAGAAATACATTCATTTGAATTATATTTAATTTGGAATAAATACACAATAGATATTTCTCTGACTGCCTAGTTATCAATTCCATATTATTTGGCAATGAAAACAGTGTCAATTCCTTTTTCTCTTATGGCCCCTTATTACCCCATGTCCCAAGGGGGTAATGAAAGGCACTTAGCAGACTGTAATGTACATGGTGCCCATAAAAGAATGAAGAAATTAAAAAATTTGTAACTTTTAAACAGCCTCTTGTAAAACAATGAAACAAAGACTGAAAGATTAAAAAAACGTTGAGTTTCTTTAAGTGCTAAAAAGTGAACTTAGACCACCTCCACACCATCTTTCAACAAATTGGTAAATTTCTCAAAAAGTGAGCACTCAGCATAAACAATGGCAACCATGCAGTAGAAGCCTCAGTGTGTGCTGTGGCTTGCATAGTTTTACTCTGCCTCACAAACACAGCAGGAGCTTTTGAAAGTGAAAAACCACTTTCATGCAATGCCATCACAAGGTTTTACAATTTGAGGAAACTGGCAATGTTGAAAAAGTGAAGTCCACAGCCTGTCCAAGCATATCAGATGCAGATTCTTCAAATTATTTTTACCACCTTGTAATGACATTGCACGAAGGTGGTTTTCCCTTGTCAACTCATGAAAACTCACACTATATATGTTTGGCAAAGTCAAATTTTGCAACCCACAGCCCACACAGGCTTCTGCTCAGTGGTGTATTTTACAGGGGGTGGCCACTCCCCCTGGGGCCCCTGGGACAGAGCTTAGTGTCCCCTTGGAGGTAATGATTTTCTCCCCTGATATCGCTTGGGTGGGGTTTGACCTCTGTTGCCCTGGCCCTTCAGCAAAAATATGCCACTGTTTCTGCTGCATGGTTGCCATTGTTTATGCTGAGAAATTATTATTGAGAAATTTGCAAATTTGTCAAGAGATGGCAGTAGATGCTCAGTTTTCTTTTTAGTGCTCAGAAAAAACTTTCAGGATGTCTTTATCTTTGTTTCATTGTTTGATGAGAAGCCATTTAAAAGTTATTAGTTTGTAAAATTGCTTTATTCTTTACTGAGACCTTGTATAGCAAAGCTAAATGTTACAGGGAAGTAGGAGATAAAATTCCTTCATGATTAGAAGCTATAATAATTTCTTGCATGCATTTTTCATTGAATGATAGTTGTAGCTTGTCAGTGGACAGCTCTTTGAATTTGCACTTCCTAATGATTTCAAATCTCAGATAATGGGTGACATGCACCAATTGAGGAATCAGATTAGTTTAAAGATGAAATGAACACGTTTACTAAAACATGTCTAAGAATGAGTTTATCTTTGACATGCATCACTGAAAATCAGATTAGTTTCCATGAACACATTTATCCAAAATTTAAACACATTTAAAGGCAATGTTGTTGCATTTGGAAAGAGAATTAAGAGTATTGTGCCAGCTGCTGCTCCATTATCCACACCAAGATGAAACCTGAATTCATCCCCATTGAATAATTCAAGAGAATTGAGCTGATCTCTGATAGTCCTCTTGGGATTCAGGATCATGTCAAAAACTTCAACCTCTTCATTTTTTTCCATTTCTACTGTCACTGCCACATGAGAGGCAGGAAAAATTAGGCCTACTCCAGCAAAACAGCTAGCTAGTTTCTCCACTTCTGAGAATCTGTTTGGGGAGTAAAACCTGCTATGGAGCAAGTTTATCTTTGAAGATTACTTTAAGACAGAAATAAACTGAGTTCATTTGGTGCATGTCACAAATCAGTTTAACTATGAGTTCAACTCATTCTCAGACATATTTGCCTGGAATCAGATCAGTTTAGCTCCAAAACCGATATGGTGCATATTGGCTTCAAATGGGAAATGAAGAGATAGGTAGCATTATTGAAAATGAATGAATGAGGTAGCACTGTGATCATTGTCAGGAATAAAGGTTGGTGGATGGCTTGAACCACATGAGACTAAGTTTCCAATACATTAGAAATTTTTTCATGGAGTCTAGGGAAAACAGACGCAAGAGGAAAACACAAGTTTGTACATTGGTCCTTGTCTATCAGCCATTGATTACTACAGACATATGAAAGCAATTAGAGCAGAGAAACATTCAGAATAGTCTTTATTTTCAATATCTTAGCTTTTACTCATTTTAATCTGCATAGCAACAACAAATTTTACATAATTTATATTAAGTTTCATCACAAGTTGTTATAATTATTTATAGTACAATTAACTTAGCCTGAACAACAGAAACAGGAAAGGAACACTAGCACTTGATACCTAGCCTTAATAAGTTGGACAGTTGTCAATCCACAAAACTCTTAATGCCCAAGGGTCTCCAAAATAAGGGGTAATATGAGAGATGTGATCTGCCAAGTAAAAGAGCAAAGCAGTAAACATGGAACAGCTAGAATTGGCATCTTTGGGCATGCAAGCATTATATTATTACATTCTATACGGGGTGTTGGTATTTAAATTCAACATAGGGATATTTTTTACTGTGGAGTTCAGTGTATGCCTTAGAGCTCACTGGGTTGCATATCTGGAAGGATGAAACATATCACTGGTGTGTTTCCTTGCAGATATATAACCCAGTGGGCCTTATAGTGTTTGCCACCCTCCACCCACAGGTGGAAATATATTACCTATGTTGTGTTTAAATATGAACATCCTGTATGTAGATAATGTGATGATATAGTTAATTTGGTTACAAGTGATGAATTTGGTCCAATATATCAAAATATATCACTTTTCTGAGACCTCTGTAACTTTATTGAAATGCAGTGACACATACTGGATTTATTGAGGATATTAAGGAATGAAAGCAGAAATAAATTATAGGTTAAATGTTATTCTTGGCTTTGACTATGTCTCTTCCTCTCACATTTAAAGTAAGTAACCATAGGGATATGAAAGAGCAACAAAGAACCAAAACTAAGTAGACTAAGCAGTTCCCCGTCAGTTCTCATGTGAACTTGTGTTCCACAGAACTATACTAGCCTATTTTAAGCTTAAAAGGATACTCACAATCAGGTTGGTAACCACAACTTCTGGAAGTGCGTTTTTTTAAGAGACTGATGACTCGAACAGACTTTGGCTGAGGAGCATGAAGCAATGATAGAAGTTTCCTATTTTAAGCTTAAAAGGATACTCACAATCAGGTTGGTAACCACAACTTCTGGAAGTGCGTTTTTTTAAGAGACTGATGACTCGAACAGACTTTGGCTGAGGAGGTACTTCGTTACTATCTTCAAAGTGGTAACAGAAGGGACATAGTTACTATAGAAGTTGTTGTTCTTGTAAGAACGGAAAGTTCAGAAGGTTCAAGACCTAAGGTTCTTGAAGTTGGAGAGGAAGACTCCGGTCATCCTGCAATGCAACAGAAGCAGCACAAAAATCATATGAAAGTAATGAGCAAGGAGAATGAAAGGGTCTGGAATGCAATGGTGTTCAAAGCAGCATCAGCTCCCAGTACTCACTGTGTAGCTCTTCAGTCGAATGAAGTCAACAGTAACAGGAGTGGATGTAAGAGCAAGGTTTCTATTGAGCTGGTTCATGTGGTCCAGAAGGTCAGAGCAAAACTTGAACCCACCTTTGAGCACACAAAGGCATACAAGGGGCTCTCTTCCTACTTCCATGAAGATGTCCCTTGCTACACGTTCTATTCTGGAAAGAAAGTGAAAAGTTTCAAAGATAAAAAAAAAACTCAGGAGGCTTATTTCTTTTGCCAGGAGGAACAGCAGATACCAATTTCTTCAATGAATCAAGACTCTTTTTACAAGAAAACATTCTCAATGTGAAAAAATTTGCATGCACATTTAATTGAACTAAAAAAACCTGGGTTATTCCACATGCCTTCTATGGCACCTGCTGCACTACACCATTTCCAACCACAAGAAGAATCAGATATTAAAAACTTATCTGCCCTTGAATGAACTTGCAACCTCACACACCTCCCCGACTTCTAATCATAAGTCTCTGCATTAGTGAAATCTCTCACTGCCAATCATTGGAACTTCATAAATGTTTACAATTTAATTTCCTGGTGTTTGATACAAAGTAGTAAAAAAGAAAGCATAGAATTTTAGATCACTGTAAAAATATACTCAGACTTGGCTGTATTACCAGAATCCCAAGTACTAAAAATTTGGTGGAAATTTTTCAAAATAAAAAGGCAAGTTAAGATATAAAGAAACATATACTTTAAAAATCTAAGAAACTGGATGCAAAAGAAAGACCCTGGGGGAAGCTTTCATGAGATTTAGTTTCAAGTTAACATCCTGCTCAAAACAGGGAATGAAGTGTATGAAAATGATCAAAAGTGAACTTATGCAACATAGGAAAATACAACAATCTCTCCAATGACCACAATTAATGAACTGTTTCAAAGAAAGCTCAATTTAAAAAAATCCACAGGTTACTATTGCCAGGTAGTATTAAAGTTACAGACTCGTCAAGTGGAAAAATAAGTGGGGCCTACCGGTCTCCTATGATGCCAGCAGGTATAAGCACATATTCTAAGTCCTCTTCATAGTGCTTTGGAATGCAGAAGTTCTCCAAGCCATATCCCATGAAGGAATCACGGATCTAGCAAATATTGTACAGGTCCATCTCTAATTAGTCTCTCTCATCAGAGCTTCAATACATGAATTGAAGAGTTTAAAGCAAGAGAATAATGTACACTTAAAACAAAAAGAAAATTGATGGTAGTCTAGTAAGATGGTTCAATAAGCAATTTCTCATATACATTATTATTAGCAAAGTGAATGCAACACTTAAATATCTGGTAGGTAACATACTGTGCAACACATGCACAGAAAGCTGCCAATATTCTCTCTCTCACAGGCATAAAGGGAGTAGTGTCCATAATTTTCCTCACCTGATTTGACTGAGGACCAGCACAAAAGACTTAGTAAAATTCCTCATATCTCTCCAAAGTCTTACAAATACTGTGAAATGGTATTCAGTATATATTGCTCAAATCTAAGAAAAAGTAGTGTCAATGCTCTCAAGAGGGTGAGAACATATTGCAAAAACAGTCAACTTGGTCAGGCAGATTCTTTGGGTCATACAAGCATGGGATAATATGTCAAGCTAATGAAAAATGAGGAACCAGAACTTACAACAAGGATACTGGATGTTCCAACCATGGTGTTAGTTGAGAGTTAGGCCTGGTTGCATCAAATAAGGGAAGCCTTTCACTTATTTCACAGAACTGAAGTTTTACTGAAGCAGAATGACCAGGAAAGCGTCAGAACTATGTAGATGAGGCCATTTTAACAGAAATAAGTAAAGAAGGAACATGCATTGTCCTGTGATTTAAAATCCCATTAGGCTATTCAATTTAATGCGAACCTAACCAAGATCCATGTGCTTGGTAATTGTACTTAGAGTGATCTAGGCTTCTTATGAAATTCACTTTTTTGGAAATCCTCCAACGTGAGCATACAGGTATGTACTCAAAGAGCAATTTAAGATATTAGCATCTATGTGATACAAC